CCCCAAACCCCAAAACCCCAAAACCCCAAAACCCCTTCGATGAAATATCTAATAGAAATAAAAATTACTGAAAATGGAGTAAGTTTCTTAAAAGATTGGTACTTTTTGCTTCACTTCTTTGATACTAAATATTTAGCTGCTTTATTTGGATCATTGATGAAGTAATCTTTCGTGCTTACCATTAAACATCAAATTTTATTTGTTTATTAAAAGCCTGGATAGTTTATACAAATTATTCGAAAAGATAGAATGAAAATATTACGAAAGTATTAGTTAGCTTCTGTGCCTGGGTAGGCTTTTAAGTGCTTCAAATTAGAATAGAGTTATTCACTTTGTTATTCATTTTTTACTGATGTAGAATCTATAGGCAATAAGGCTCATTTTATTTCAAAGCCTCAACTCTAAAGCTAAATCCTGCATTTGAAATATGTATCCTCCAGGCTTAAATTCAAATATTCTGTTAGCAACTCTTTAGGCCTCATATATGCTCTACAAGTCTCCTCCCTATCTTAAGAGAAGAGGGCTTATTAATAATTCTAGATTTTCCTTCCTCTAAGACTTTAGTAGATGCCACCAGTGTTTTTAAATATGCATTCTTTGCATTGTGATAATCTGGGATACCTTTGACATTAAAATTATCTAGGCTCTTAAAACTTTAGTTCAATAAAGGGGGTCGAACACAAGTTCATACTCAATTTCTTCAAATTTTTAGAGTTCCCAGGTTGCTTTTATTTGTTTATTCTATTTTATGCCATATCTGAGTATTAGATATGTCCCTCTTGGGATAATTGCCCAAGATTTTTAAGTAGCTGAGAATCAGGTGTAGCGAGTAACCTGATAAATTCATCCAATGGGTTCTCAATCTTGGCTCTTCATTAGTAAAGGTATAAGAAGGTGATTTTATTTATCAATGGGACTAATCAATGTTCCTTATAAAGAGGAAATAATACAGAAATGCTTGTAGCGACAATTAATTAATCTTTGTTTTTGTAAGGGATCCAGCAATCATGGTGCGGTATATGAACCTTATCTCATAAGAATACCAATTAGAGTCCTTTTGCTTTATTCAAAATCGTCATTGCTCTGAACTGTGAATAAATGATACATCCAAATGAGATTCTCATCTTTCAAATTTTCAGCTTTATTTATGAGTAAGGATATTATTAGAAGCTTATTCAGATACGAGGTATAATAGTCAGATTAGGAATAAAGCACTTTAACATGATGTATTCTAAATTTTTGATATTCCGAAGCATCATTTTTTAGCATAAATAAAATATATCAATAGTTACCATTTTTGTCAGAATTTGTTAGGTACTTTCTGAAATCTTGCTGAATCTAGCTCAGTTTATTAAAAAATAAATTTTTTACTTTTAGAGTATCTTAAACTATGTGAGAGGAAGAATTAATTGTAAACTTTTGTATTTGAGAAATAATTTCTAAACCTTGACAGTAGAACTAGTTATTTCTACTTTCTTTCGTTCACAACAATATTGCAGTTTAGAATTAATATTGAAATGTTTAACAAAACTACAGCAGAACATCTCAGTTACAGTTGGAAGACAAAAATATGAGTGTCAGGGTCGATAAATCCACCAAATCAAGCTTTGAAAGAGCAATGTATCATTCATTGCTAACGCAATACGAGCTATTGGCTTGGAGTCACCATAATGGTATTGCATTGTATTATATCTCAAGTTTAAATTAGGAAGTAGAAAGACTTTATTCAATTTATAGAAATATTTTAGTATATATTTTTAATTTTAAATAATGTGAATGAGATGGCATCTGTTAAAACATCGCTTGATTCGATATTTGTTATTTTTTTATTTCATATTTTCATTGAAAATTTTTCGGTCTTCGGACATTGAAAAGGTTGAAACCTCCTCAATTCTATTTGTAATTAAAAGTCTGAAACAATATTGACTAATTTTAAATCACAGATAGTTTCAAACAAATTAAGCAAGTCTCTGTTTTCAAAAAATGTGTTAAAATTACCAGAAATTATTTGCTTCCCATTAAAATGCTGTTTACTAAATAAACTTTTAAATGCTAAAGGCACAATACAAATTAGTTCTTCCAAGCTGGCAATATAATGCTGCATATAGATTTGGCAACTGAAATAGTAGATCCAAAAATGAACAGAATAAACGTGTGGAACATTGATAAAAATAGGAAATCTCTTGTAAAGTTCATTAAGCACTCATTCCCAAAAAGTGTAAATGTGCTTTATTTTAAAGGCTTTGATACTGCTCCTCTCTGAAACATCTCTTTTTATTTAACTCCTCTTGCAAAGGTTAGCCACAGGATTCAGAACAAAATAGGGTTTAGCAACTTTTAGGAAAAAGGGAGATCGGATATTTTAATATTTTTGAGTTTTAAAGTACTTAAAATACTAATCTCAGTTTATTTGATTGTTGCAAATGAATAAGTTTTAAGAGAATATGCAGAGAAATATGATTTTGATGTGCCAATTCTAATTTTATTAAAATTATAAAATGTTTAGGATTTCTACTAAATTTTTAATTTTGATAAATTGAACAGCTAAATAAAAATTTAACTTTTGAGTTAACCAAAAACAGTTGCAGAAATTGATGAATTGTTGTGAGCATGTCCCCTATGTGTCATTATACAACTGTTTGCTTTTAATTTCTTCCATTCCTGCCTTTGTGCTTTCGAAGAGTAAAATTGAGACCTTCAAACTGACCAGCTGAGGTTCTTGGGGTAGAAGTGACTGGGCCACTAATTTTGAAGACTTTGCTGATCTCATCCAAGGGCTTGGACAGCAGAGAAAGTTTAGAAAAAGCTTAATGCATCTTCATGTCGAAGGATGCTCAATTAGCAAATCTCAGATCATAGAAGTAATGAATGTTTCAGGTTTTGCAGGTGTTACAATTCATGCATAAGTCAATTTCAATGCTGAGTTAATGCGTTGGGGTTTTGGGGTTTTGGGGTTTTGGGGTTTTGGGG